CACCAACAGGGCCACGTAAAGAGAGTATAGTTGATAAACTTGTGAGTGGGCATTACTTATCTCGAAAGAACATAACACAGGTAATTTATCGGAAATTTAGGTTGGTCCCCCAACAGCGGCGAATCCACCACGGGTGATGCCTGAACGGCGAATGTTCTTTGAACGGCTTGTTCAGTTCTGTGAGCAGCACGGTGAACCGATCACTATGATACCACAGGTGCGATGATGTTAAGAAAAAGTAGTGTGGCTTCAGTGTAACTGCTGATGTAGTTTTCTTACCGTGCGTCATCCCTGTTCAGGTTTCGAAACAGAATGTCGATTTGCACCGATTGTACATCGGTGTTCGAAATCGTGGAGGTTTTGAGCAGGTAAGCAAGACTTATCTTTCACGTCAGTTATTGAGCAATTGAAGAGAATCAGTATGTGCTCTGGCCCAGCTTCATCAGTGCATAAAGTAAAATTAAGGTAACGAAAGATAAAGCGTGGAAGGCGATCTGCACTGAAGCGAATCCTGAGATCTCGCAGTCGTCTGCTGCTGGCTACCAGCTTCGAAAACATTATGAGAAACACTTGTTGTTGCTCGAATGTGTGGAGACCGGTCGTCGTCCAGAAGATGCGGTGGCGTTTGCTGATGGCCTTAAAAGACAGAGGAGGAAGGAACCCACTGCTACGGCTGCTGCTGCGGCTGCTGCTGCTGCTGCTGCAGCTGGAGTGGCTCCAACTGGACCTTTGCCACCGTTTCCTGGTTAGTTTTCATTCAAAGCAGGAGAATTTGAGTTACTCACTTCCAGTGTTATAAGTGTTCGATTTATGTTCACGAAAGATATTTTTGGACAGCTCGTGTCGCAGTTACAGAGTAAAAGAAGATTATATGAGTCCTCAAAAGAGAAGCCTCTTATGTGATTTGATGCCGTAGGAAATGAAATTGCCATGAAATGAGTCGGAACTGTAGAGGCTTGGTTCAGTTTAGTGTCAAGAAATAGATATGTCAAGAATCAGCCAATACTTCGGCCTTGGCTAATTAGCGCTTTATCCCTTCTTTGTGCGCTACCTGAGGTGTGATAAAGGTCTCATTAACGCCGTCG